TTTTTTTTTTACAACCCAAAATTGCCCGACTGTTAATCGAATATTGCCCGACTGCCCAAAAAACTGGGGGGGCGGCCGCCCCCCCCGCCCCCCCGCCCGGTACGCCTATGTCTACCTGCAGTTCAGTTACCAGAATGATAAAATAATATTGATTCTTTTCATTATAGGCTATGTAGTAGTTTTGAGTTTGGGGAAAATAAATTTAAGAGAAATAATTGTGTTACTTTTCTTAGCTTGTTTATACTGTAAACAAGCATTTCCTACTCCGTGGCAGAAATTAACCTACATCTTCCGCATATTACACATGACATTGGTTTCCCCGTGTCAGGAGTACAGTATAACATTTTTTATTTTCAGCTAATTTGACCATATGTCAACACAAGTTGGATCTTGGTTTTATATTGGACAACTCTGGCAGTGTTGGATTTAGTAATTTTGAACGAATGAAATTATTTGTCAAAGATCTCACAGACTTCTACAACCTAGGCTCAGAAGAGACACGAGTCTCCGTAATGTCGTATTCAAGTTCTGCAAACATCCACATTGCGTTCTCGGCAAATTTTGCGAATAAAAACCAGTTTGATTCGGCCGTCGATGGCATCTCGTTTACTGGTGGAGGAACTGCAACAGCATTGGCTTTAAATATGACTTACAATTATATGTTTACGTCACGTTATGGAGCGAGAGGCCCAGGTAAGCATCTATAGCCTGCGTCGTTGACGGGCCACTATATCAGTTTGTTCTTATTATTTATATATTTACATCCGATACCGTTCCTTAAAATGTGTTCCAATTTTTTAGAGTTCAAGAAAGTTCTGGTGATAATAACGGACGGACAAAGTTCAGGACCGGTTGATTATCCAGCCCAACAACTGAAGAACTCTGGTGTTGTGATATTCTGTGTGGGGATTGGACATGTATCAGTGCGAGAATTGAGAGCTATGTCCTCAGATCCAGTTGATGAGCATGTTATTATATTGGCCAACTTTATTCAACTAGAAAAGCTTGCTGGGAACATGTCTGCGAAGACTTGCAATGGTAGGTTTTATGCATGGTGGCATTTATGGTAGTGGTAATGGTGGTGATGATGGTGGTGATGATGGTTGTGATACAGGTTATTATTTAATTCCTGGTTTACTTTATAAGATTTTATTCACTACAAACTTGTTTCGTATGACAAACAATGCTTGCCACAATCATCAGGTGAATTTAAATGTCGCGCTTTGTTGTTGCCAAGGTATATTATTATACTACTTACATGTTTGACGTAAATTAAACGGAATGCTCAAGTATTAGATTACATATACAGTGTAGATTATATATATACAGATCATATTAAGTAATGTATAATACAGCTTAAAGAGAAATTTGTTTCTATGTCTGCATTTCGATAAATGTTTAATTCTTGAATTTAAAGAACAAATTAAAGTTCCGGGTGGTAGGCTAGATTATAATGGGTAAGATATTTTAATTTTACTTTGCCTTTTTAAAGGAATATGTCCTCGCGACGTTTTTAAGCATGTTTACTATCGTTTTTAATCTTGTTTAAACGTTACTAACTATTTAAAACAATGCTTTCTTTGCAAGCATGTACGTTGTTGAGTGAATTAGGCCTATATACTTTAATAAAGTAAGCCTATTAAAAAGTGCTGTCTCTTGTTTTGACAGCGATATACTTGTTTACTTGGCTATCCTTTAATTATTCTTTAGACGAACGCATATTAAGAGAGAATTATTATTTGAATGAATGTAATTAATCAAGAAATTTATCTTTTTATTGTTTTTAAAAGGCTATTCAATAAATGGGGTCGGCCAGGGGGGGGGGGGGCCCTGGTATCCTATATACCTGATATAAAGATACAAAAATACCCGAAATTATGCTGATAATTTCAAAAAATACCAGAAATG